AACAGGGCTGAACCCAAACGGTGTTTTTCGTTTTCGTTTTCTTTTCGTTTTCCCTCCCTTTTGTCTCGAATCCGCCTTTGCCGCAAAACGAAGTCGAAAGGACAACGGCCCACGAAATCAAAAAAAACACCGTTTAGGTCAAGCCCTGCCACATAATCATGGCAGTGCGGACGCGGCCGCAGGAAACCCTCGCAGGACACCCAGCCCTGAAGACCCGCGCGCTGGGTGCGACTGGGGGGCGCAGCCCAGAGCACCCCTGGACGCAGAGAGTTCTGCAAGCGACGCGGGAGGTTCCCGCGCGGCGCGCGAAGAGAAGAAACCAAGGGGACCCTGACTAGAAACAGAAGTGTTCTTGATGCGCGGCCCCACTGCACGCTGGGTGCATGGTCTCTCGTGCCGACGTCGGCAGCCACGCTGACGCTGCATGCTCCCAGCAGTCTTTGCTTTGGGGTGCTTTGCTGTCCCCCTCTCAATGCTCCCCCTCCCTGGCCCCAAGGTCCGAGATGTCGCTCGAGGAGGGGGGGGGTGGAGCGGGGGGGGGAGGGCAGGGGGGGGAGCGCGACGAGCCACCTGACGCACCTCTGGGACCGTAAGAAGGGGGCCTCAAAGATGCCCTGCGGGGCCTTCGAAGCTTCCAACATGCCCTGACTTAGCTCCAGCATGGCCGGTGCTGGCCGAAGCACGTGCCCAAGGCTAGCAACGATGGCCCAGGGCGGCCTCCATGCCAGGCCCCCGTTGTTCCCAATGTGGATCCAAGACACGACGGCTTGCGCAGAGCCTCCCAAACTGCATCAAACACCATACCTGTTTCGCGCATTTCAAACACTCCCCACTCTTCGGCGCAAGGTGCGTGCAGGAGGCCCTGAACCCCAATGTGGCCCCAAGACGGTCCCAAAGCCCCCCAGCTGGTCTCCAAGACGGCATCGAGAGGACTCCAATCTGGCCCCAGAACGCTCCAAGACGACCCACGCCCCCAGAAGGCTCTCAGACTCTCCAGAAGATGGCCCTGGGAACCCCATGGGGGGCACCAAGACGCCTGCAAGAGGCTCCCGGCGGGCCCCGACAGAGCTCAAAAGGGCCTCCCCCAGACGACCCCAAACACAGCCCAAAGCAACTCCCAACACGCAACACGAAGCCAGGACCAGGACAACATCGGGCCGGGATACATCGGTGATCTCGGGGGTTCGACGGTTCCCAAATGCCAGGGCTTCCAATCGTTTTTACACATCTTTTCTGGATGTTCGTCCTCCCACCACCTTCCCATGTTTTCCCATATATTCTCGCAGAAGAGCGATTCATTTTGTCCGTGAGTTTTTGTCCCCTCCTAAGTTCTGGTGGACGTATCGGGCGTCGCGGCCGTCCCAGAGAGCTCCAGAGAGATCTGATAAAGCGTTCCGGAACGCCCTGGAAGTATAGATTAAGGAACCGAACTTTATACACCGATACTTTTTCCGGTCCCGCACTGAGATTCGCACAAGAAAACGGGTTCTGGTGTATGCGGCATCCTGGTGTATACTTTTTTGGTTGTTTCCACGGGAAAACTGGGAAACACGTATACACCACACCACCCCGACGTCGTCCCCGACCCTCTAAAAATCCTGGGATTGAAAAACAGCCCGCCACTTGTAATGTGTATACGTTCCAGTTTCCGATATGTTTCCCGGTCCGGGCCCCGCGCGACTACGACCTCCTCCCAGGTTTAGCGCACAGCTCCCGTGCAGATGCGCGTGCCAGGCCAAGTGACCCCCGACCCTGGGGCGAGCATCCTTGGGCCGGGCCCCACTGGCGTGAGCTGGGCCCTTACTGGCCGATCCATGCACCTTGCTATGGTTCTCGTCGGGCTTCGAGGGGCCTATCCCCAACTGCCAACTGGGGTGGTGGGATGGTAAGGCTGAGACACCATGGTCCAGTGGGGATGGGGATAGGCCACACGATGCTGAGGGGGGCGGGCGGAGCGACGCCTAAACGTCTACAAGATGGCCTGCATCGGGCGCAGCCGCGAGAGCATCAGGCCCAAGCGCTGCACCTCCCCAGGGAGACGGAAAGCTACCCATACCAGTACCCCTCGGACCTCTCCCGGGGCGCGTTCCGACAAGGAGTTCGAGGCGAATCCAGCCGCGGCGACGAGGGCCTCCGAGGAGGCCCACAAAGGTGAAAACGAGGCGCGGGGGTAACGGTATAGGCTTCCTTTGCCTCGTTTGAGCACCTCAGGGGAGCCCAGAATATATAATCGATAACTCGGACCGGCGATCGACACAACTCGGATCGGCGGCAACCGGCGGAGAAGTCGAAGCGGCGGAAATCGGCAGGCCAGCTAAGCGTCCAGGGAGAGAGAGACCGGCATCCGAGCCGGAAGCCGAAGTCGAATCGGAATCGGAGCCCGAATCGAAGCCGAATCGAGCCCCAGACATGCGACGTCCTGATTTTCTCAGGACGGCGTCCCTGGAAGTCCCGACCCTTTCCCCGTGACCGGTTCTTCGTCCCGAGTCGTTTTTTGGCGCGGCCCCGCGAGGCCCGGCGAGGGCCCACCGGAGCCGAACATGGAGAAAAACTGCCCGTCCTGACTTTGGCACGACGCGATCATGTCTGGGGCCGGAGGCGTCGAGAGGAGCCCCGGCACCCTGGCACCTCGCCGTTCACTCGGTGCAGCGAGGCCAGGCGTGGGGCCGGGATCTGGCCAGCGCCCTGCGAGAGCAGCGCCAGGCACGTGGCGCCTGCCTCCTCCGAGCCAGCCGAGGCCAGCTTGGCGCGCAGGTAGCCGAGCTCCAGCGCCGCCCGCTGCTCAGAGGAAGGAGAAGCGGCCCCGTGATGCTTCGGGCTGCCCCAGACAGGATGCACGCGTCGTCAGAACATCAGGGCGGGCGATTTTTGCTGTTTTCGGCCCCGAGGGGCCCTCGCCAGGCCTCGGGACCGTCAAGAAACGAGTCGGGATGAAAAACCGGTCCAGGGGAAGGATCGGGATCTCAAGGGGCGTCGTCCTGAAAAAATCACGACGTCGCATGTCTGGGGCCTGGTGATGCTTCGAGCTGCGCACCGACAGCTACCTCAGGAAGTCCCCGCTAGCCTCCACGGGCCTGCCGAGTTGTGGTGTTCCCATCGTACTCGAGGTCTAACAGTTCAAAACTGGTTTCAAGCACCCACCCCATAAAAGTATCGAAACAGAGTATGCCCGACACGCCAGCGAAGCGTCAAGTGTGTATCGCCTCCCGGGGCCCAACGCGTGAAAAGCCTGCCATTTCGGCACTTTCTTGGTGTCGACATTCCTTTTGGTGACCAAGGCTATAAGCCGGACGCCCGAAATGGGTACGGAAAAAATGGGTACAATGCCCAGCAACAATTTTTCCCAAATCAACAGCGGCCGCTGTCGGGCAGGCGGCCTTCTGTCTCGAATGGACACAGGCCGCGGCGGCGCGGACAGCGAGTCCTGTTCAAAACGAACAGGAACTGCTGTTGGGCATTGTATACCCATTCTTTCCGTACCCATTTCGGGCGTCCAGGTAGGGCGTACCCATTCTTTCCGTACCCATTTCGTGCGTGCAGAATCTCAGCTCCCGAGCAGTCTCGGCCGGCCCCCCGAGTCACATCAGCCTGGGGGCGGCCTCCGCAGCCGTCTGGCGCCGCCTCCGGAGGCGCCCCCATGCATGGGGCGCCCCGTGCCCCCTGGGAGCCCTGGGGTGCTGTCGGGGCCGCCTCGAGCTGTGCGAGGGGCCTGCTGTCAGCGCTGGGGCCCCCCGGCGGCGCCTCCGGCGCCGCCCCCGGCGCGCTCCGCGCGCCAGTGAGGGGGGTCCAGCGCCGATCCGAGAGATCCGCGCGGACCTCCGAGTTCTTATGTTTATGCCACTTTTTGTTCCCCTAGCTGAGGCCAGCTGGGACTGCTCCCGGGGACATCCCAAGGCGGTGCGGTGACAGGCCGTGCGGCACGGTCCGTCACCGCCCGAGCAATTGGGACTCTGCAGGGGCCCCCGAGCGCCCGAGACGTCCTCGAAGAGCGACTCGAGTCCCAGAAGCGCGCGGTGGCCCCGAATCCCCACTGGCTCACCACACGGTGTGGTCACAGCACCGTGTGGGGGCTCCGGATCCTCGGGGAGCCCGTGGAAGCCCGCCGGGACTACCTGAGGAGCGGGGCTGTCCGCGCGCAGCCCGAAGCCTCACACCAGAGCGGCCCCTGAGATCCTGGCGTCTCAACTTCGGGCCGGGCGGTCTTGCGCCCGTCGCTTGAGCCCGGGACCCTGACAGATCGATCGAGCTCGGACAATGGCGCAGGAAGCTGGGGTCCGGGGCTCCAGCCGTGGTTTCTCACGATGTTGCAGATATCGCCACGTCGGACCTCATGGACATGCGCGTCAAGGAATCCGCGCGGACCTCTGAGTTTCACGTTTACAAGAGGGGATAGACCACAAGAGACCTTCCAGAAGAACCCCAGCCCTGAAAACCCAAGGCGTTCATCGGTGTTTGGCGTGGGAACGTCACGCTTTCCATAGCAAAACCATCGAAACCCAAGAACCCAGAGCACACTGGGGGCAAGCAGGGTATTTCCTGGCATGGGCCTCCAGTGTATGTTTCGCCGCAGGGCCGCGCCCTGGGGTCTCCGGGAGCAGTGGAGGCGGACATCTGCCGCCCCCTGCAGCGGGCAGACAGCCGTGGCCATACCACCCCTGGAAATCCCAGGCCAAGACCCCGCGGCAGCGGATGTGGACGGAGTCTGGCGGTGGATGTGGACTTCATGGGCCGCTTTCGCCTCTTCGGGCTGCGCGGCAGCCTAGAAGAGGAAGAAACGCCATAAACATAAACTTGTGGCGCTCCGCACGGATTTCTTGGATCCGCGCTGGACCCCCCTCCCTGGCGCGCCAGGTGCGGCGCCGGAGGCGCCGCCAGGGGGCCCCCTCTTCATATTATGATTGTTTGTATTATGATATGTTCTTTTCCTTCTTCTTGTTTTTCTCCTTCTTCTTCTTCTTTTCCTCCTCCTTCTTCTTCGATTCCCATGCCGCTTCCTCTTCCTCGCGCTGCGCGTCGGCGCCAGCGGGCTCGCGAGCCGCGGGCTCGGGCCCGGGCGGCGCGGACGGGGGCGGGCGCTCCCGCCCGAGCCGCTGCGGCGCGGGCCCCGAGGCCGAGGCCGGGGCCCGCCCCTCGGGAGCCGGCGGCGCGCCGTCGAAGCGGCCGGTGCCCAGCGCCCCGCGGAGGCTCCGTGAGGCGCCGGGCCCGGCCAGCTCGCGCCGGATCTCCTCTCAGAGGAGGGGGAGGGGGGGGAGGAGGAGGAGGAGGAGGAGGAGGAGGAGGAGGAGGAGGAGGAGGAGGAGGAGGAGGAGGAGGAGGAGGAGGAGGAGGAGGAGGAGGAGGTGGAGGAGGAGGAGGAGGGGGAGGGAGGAGGAGGAGGAGGAGGAGGAGGAGGAGGAGGAGGAGGAGGTGGAGGAGGAGGAGGAGGGGGAGGGAGGAGGAGGAGGAGGAGGTGGAGGAGGAGAAGGAGGAGGGGGAGGGAGGAGCAGGAGGAGGAGGAGGAGGACAATGCGCTTACTCAAGCTGCGCAGGCATGCACACCTCGCCAAGAGAAAGTACCACAAGGGTAACACGCCCCCTAGTTAATCGTTGACAAGCTGCAGTGCAAAACGAGACAGCACGCGTTCCCCGAGGACCCCTGGGCCCCTGCGGTGAGGAAACTCTCTACGTCGACCGCAAGTGCTCTACGCACGACTTCATCACCAGCGTCAACACCTTTCTCAACGAGACCCAGACTCACTACATCAACGCGATGGAGAAGGACCGTACTGACATCCTCACCGGCACGGCCAAAGCTACGGCCACTGCGTCACAGCATGGGCACACGCGACTTCTGGAAATCGTCCAAGAAATTACTCTCCGCGGCGGGCTACAAGAAGCAGAATAACCGGGCTTCACAACTAGCACCTGTGCGACGCACCAAGGACGGCAACCCTATCACAACCGATGCTGAGTGGGGCTGGGAGAAGAGCAACGCCTTCGCGGCTACAGAACGTTCGGACATCACGCCGTGGGCCGACGTCATGGAGATCTACAACAACACTGCTTGTACTATCAATAAAAACATGCTGCAATGTAGTCGGCCCCGCCTCCGTCAACACGCTCGGGGGCCAGACGACTCATCCAGCCCGGGCATCCGGGGACGGCGCTGACGGTCAGGAGGGCATGTGCGACGACCTCTCCGCCAACGCCTCTGGGCCCTGGGGCCCAGGGCAATGGACAGACAGCTACACCCTCTCCTTACTGAAGCTACACTGAAGGAACCACTCCTTGCCAAGGGTGCCATCGCCGCGTCCTCAAGAACAAGAACTCCCCAGCTTACATAGAGAACTGCAGATCGACACTGGTGGGCTCCAACTCCAAGATGATGAAGCACCACTACGCCTTCATACTCCGACGACTAAGAAAAACGATTGACGAGCTCTACGAGGATTCCATGTGCGGTGGCATGCACGACAGAGGTACCACCATGGCCATGCATGTCATCCGTACCGTCCTAGATCTGGCTAGAGACACTGAGATGACGGCTATCGTTCCGCTCTTTGACCTGAAGAACACCTACTACGCAGTCATCAGAGACGTGGCGCTACCCATGGGTGCGGACTGGGACACGCTGAAAAACCAACTCGCCACCTATGACATCACGGTCGCATTAAAGGGAGCGGTAGAGCTACTACTACAATACCCAGCCATCACGTCCGACAACACAAGCCCACACGCGGTATCTCTTCTAGCACAAGCCCACCTCGACACATGGCTCATTGTAAAGGAGTTCCCTGTGGTAGCCAGGCCCACGGCGGGTTCGCACCTAGGGTCGAGTCTGGCCGACTTCATCTTCAGCGTCCTCCACTCGAAGACACGGGCCACCATAAGTAACACCCTTCTCTCGCAGGGACGTCTGCTGGACCTCGCGCAACTTGACCGGGCACATCTACTACTGAACGCTACCGAGGACCCCTTCTACGTGATGGACTCGGGCCTACGCCAACGGCACAGAATTCTTCACGCTAGCGCAGGACAGCAAGCTGATTGACGTACAGGCTTCACAAATGGTCCGCACGATCAACGAGGGCCTGGTCCAATACGGCCTCACCCCCAGCTACGCTAAAGGTAAGTCCCAGGCACTGCTCAGCAAACACGGTCAAGGCCAATGCAGGACCAAAACCAAGCTTTACAAAGACATGGGAGCTAAATTGCGCATGCTGCAGTACGACATCGTCATCGAGCTGAAAACCAAGGCAAGGCACCTGGCAGCGATAATTGACGCTGACCAAACCATGGGAAAGGAAGTCAACTGCCGCCAACTCCTCACCTCACAGGCCTCCGGCCCTGTCCGTAAGGCCCCTATATTCGCATAAGGCCATTACGCTCAAGGACAATGCCAACAAACAGGCCGAACAACACGCATTACCGACAACACAATCCGTGCGGACACCGACAGGATGGACGACCAATTACTACTGCGCTACCGCAGGTTCAAGTACTTCACGCGAGCTATGCACTATGCTCCCGAACAGCTCCTGTTGCTGCTGGACATATTATTCCACTCTGGAGGCCGCTGGGCCACGCGCCTACGGAGCGACCTAGATTGGTTCGCCCAGTTCAAAGGCTTTCAGGACAGGAGCGCCCCCGCTACTACTCAGGACTGGTTCGAGCTCATCACGGGCAGCATCGGCGCGGCGTTCTGCTGCATCGACGCCCGCTGGAGGGCCGTCGCAGACTGGCGCCGTGACCATGCGGAACACATGGTCTGGCGCCGCTCATTCTACGCGCGCGTGGAACTACTGGGCGCGCCACCCCCGCCCGATCACGCACCCGTGGCTGAGAACCACGACAAGTGCCCACGCCCAGATTGCAGCGCCCTGCTTGCCACTAAAGGTGCTTGGTCCATCCGCGTGACCAAGGGCCACCTGGTGGACGACCGCATAAAACGCCATGTGGCCTCGGGCCATTGTCGCGCACGCGGCACGGACTTCCACGCGCGCCCGCGGCTACTCGCGCACAGAACCAAGCGCAAGAGACGCTGCGCATTCCGCATGCGCCAACATTGCCCCGGCCACCCCGCAACAAATGAACGACCTCAACGAGATTGACAAGGCAGCCGGAGCCGCCCTGCGCAAGGAGGGCCACTGCGACGAGAACGCAAAACTGACGGCAACAAAGATCCGCGACGCGCCCACACTACCGCTACCCGACGAACCTTTGGGTCGATGATCTCAGGCTGCCGCCCGACCCGATCTCCGCGAAGGACGCGCCCGACAGCGCGTGCGTCGTCCAAATTACGAAGCACATCGCCCAGCACAAAGTGTACTTGGAAGCTGCTGGGGCCCAGAACCCAGCTGACCGCACCGCAGGCTACAACCATCTCATTCGACCAATGCACGCTCGGCGCGGAGGCCAAAAAACCGACGACCTTACCGACAGCACACATAGCGGATGCAGCTCGGACGCTGCCGACCACGCCCAACCACGGCCGCTGCCGCCCCCCGCGCGGCCACGGCGCGATCCCTGGAGCGGGGGGCCTCCAGGGCAGGGTTCAAAACATCACCGCTCAAGGAATACCCCCCACAGCTCTGCAACCTCATCAAAGGACCTCGACACGACCGCACGGGCCCACAAGTGCACGCCAGGCACCGCGCCGAACTGCGTGCAGAGAACACGCTCGGGCCGTTCCATGTCGAGATCGACCCAGGCCACACGTGGCAGCCCGACTTCGCCAAACGACTCGGAGACTCAGGACCGACCGACGAACCTGCTCTCCAGGGGCCGAAGAACGTGCCCTGCTCGCCTACGATCCCAGTCGCACCCACACCTACGGTAGTACACACCCCTTCTGCGATGAGCATGTCCTCGGAGCGAGTGGCGACCACGCCACCTGCCTGGACACCGTCTCCAGTCTACACTACGCCGCCACAGCGAGGCTCACGCGCGAACCTCACGCACTGTCCGCTTCGCATAAGAAAGAAAAGGAGGAGGTTGAGGAGCACTACATAATCGGAATTACGACTGTCCTTATAACGTCTCGTGTGACATGATGGATCCAGAGGCCAGGTACTTACATGCCGAAAAATGGTGCCTCTTTGCTCAGCCTGTGGTGTACTTCGTATCAGTTCCTTCTGTGATGCAGTAATACAGCATCAGTTTGCCAACGCCTGTGTTCCCTGTCAGGGAGCTGGCCGTTTGCCTACTACTGAGGCCCGCGCCCCTGGCCACCGTCTCCCTCTTACCCTACTTCGCCGCACGTAGCTACTGGGCTCAAACGTGTCAATTACCGCCAGCACTTGCGCCACTACCGCTGCTACCTCGCCTTTACGCGCCATGCTCTTCCCGTGGATCAAGCAGACCTACACCGGTAACATCGCCGAGCAGGAGATGCACAACGAGCACGGCATCTTCTCGCCCAGTACGAGGCCAGCTGGCTGGCTACAAGTACCGGTGAAGTCCCGCATCTACCCCGAGATCTGTGGATGAAGGTCGGCCGCGCAGGTCTCCGACATCAAGGCCGCCCTACGCCATCGCTGCAAATTCTACGTAGCACCCCGCAATTGCGGATAAGAGTGAGGGGGCGGCCGCGGGCGACGCGGGCGTCGTCGAGCCGGCGGACCTCGTGGCCCCCACCTTCCCTGTCGATGGCGCTCTCCTCCTCCTCCTCCTCCTCCCCCTCCTCGTCCTCCTCCTCCTCTTCCTCGTCCTCGTCCTCATCGTCATCGTTATCCTCCTCCTCCACCTCGTCCTCCTCCTCTTCTTCCTCGTCCTCCCTCTCCCCCCACGTCCTTTTTATCATCGTCATCCCATCGTCGTCCTCCCCCTCATCGGCCTCCATCATCGTCCTCCCATTGTCGTCCATCATCATCATCATCCTCCCCTTCCTCCCCCTCCTCGTCCTCCACCTCCCCCTCCTCCCCCTCCTCTTCCTCCTGCTCCTCCTCCTTTTCTTTCTCCACATTCTCCGTGCATCCTCCTTTCTTCCGCGTTCTCGTCGTCCCCTGTTTACTCCTCCTGCCTCCCCCTCCTTTCCCAAGATAACTGCAACGCAATCCTTTTTCGCACTTTATGCTCTCCGCCTTCTCTGATCAAGGCAACTCGCCAGGGCAAACTTGCTGGACGGGCTGGTGTGGATGCGCGGGGCTTGAAGAGGTCCTTGCGGGCTCAGACGGCATGCAAAAATCCGCCGCCGCGCTTGTGCGGCATTGGTTTGTTCAGTGAACGTGGTTTGGGTCGCGGGTGGGTCGCGGGCTCTCCACCTCCACCTGGAAGGAATGCAAAAGCAGCCCGCCGCAGGCGCCAACAAAAATTGGTTTGTACACTGAACGTGGTTTGGGTCGCGGGTGGGCCGCGGGTTCTCCACCGGGAGCGAATGCAAAAGATGCCCGCCGCAGGCGCCGAAAAATGCTGTTTGTACCCTGCACGTGGTCGCGGGTGGGCCGCGGGCTCTCCACCTGAAACGAATGCAAAAGATGCCCGCCGCAGGCGCCGAAAAATGTAGTTTGTACCTTGAACGTGGTTTGGGTCGCGGGTTGGTCGCGAGTCGGTCACGGGGTGGGTCGCGGGCTCCCCACTTGGAAGGGTAAAAAAAGCCCGCCGCAGGCACCGAAAATGGTGGTTTGTACCTTGAACGTAGTTTGGGTCGAAGGTGGGTCGCGGGTGGGTCGCGGGGTAGGTCGCGGGTGGGTCGCGGGTGGGTCGCGGGTGGGTCGCGGGGTGGGCCGCGGGCGGGTCGCGGGGTGGGTCGCGGGGTGGGTCGCGGGGTGGGTCGCGGGGTGGGTCGCGGGGTGGGTGGGTCGCGGGTGGGTCGCGGGTGGGTCGCGGGTGGGTCGCGGGGTGGGTCGCGGGGTGGGTCGCGGGTGGGTCGGGTGGGCGGGGCGGGTTGCGGGTGGGACGACGACAACAAACAACAACAACAACAACAACAACAACAACAACAACAACAACAACAACAACAACAACAACAACAACAACAACAACAATTACTAGCACGTGGGGACACACCGTTCTCACCAGTGCCAGGGTTTTCATAGGAGGCGGGCAATACCCCCACTTTGTGGGGGGGCCGGTTCAAGCTCTACCAAATTTCCAAACGACTCTTCGCCACCACCCACACCCAGCTTCCCGCCCTATGACGTTCGGACACTTCACTTCGTGGCATGCGGACGACCGTGGCTACTATTCAGGGCCCCGCGGCCGACGACGACGGCGTGCGCGCGCGAAGAAAAAACGAATGTGTCCCGCATGGTATTATTTGACAGGGATGATGGCCCTGGCAGGTGCGCAACCGTTGTTGCAGAAGTTCGAAAAAGTTGCTCGCAAAAGCCCGTTTGACAGAAATGATTAAAAAGTGTTGGGTTTCCTACGAATCCGCAAGAGCGCGCGGGATGAAATTTTGACATTTTTTTTTTTTTTTTGAAAAACCATTGGTTGTTTGATGCTTTTATGTTAAAATCGCTACGAAAACTAAGGTTTTGGAAGGATTTCGTCTTGCGCGCGCGAATGTCCACTTTACCTTATTTTTTTACAAGGGATTCTTGAAGTTTGGTTATGTTAGAACAAGAAATGTCCACTTTAGCTTTTTTTTTGCAAGGGAAAACCGATCGTAACAACACAACCGGATCCGGACCAACCCGTTTTGCCTGAGACTTCCTCACGAACATGATGAAAATGAGGCTGCGGCCTAGGCGCGGCGGGGGGGTCGCGCACCAGGGGTCCCAACAATAATTATTCTTTAGAAGTAATAATCTTCAACAACAACAACAACAACAGCAGCAGCAGCAGCAGCAGCAGCAGCAACAACAACAACAACAACAACAACAACAACAGCAACAAACAACAACGAGAATCCGCATCGCGGAATTCCACTTCAGCCACGCACCCAGGGACAGTGAATGACCGTTCGGCCCCCTCACTCTGACAACGGGTTTCTCATCGACATCTACAAGGCCACCGCTGCGGAGACTGAGGTCAAGATCGACAGGCGTGACATCGGTCAGACCTCACGCCCCGCACTACGGCATCCTGGAGCCGCTCCAAAACGATTTCTGGGTGCCCAACGTGTGATACTTGTTCGCGGAACAGCGAATACGACTGAGATAACGGCACTGCTTGAGGTCGTACCCCTGGCGAAGCAGGAAGACACCATCGTCCAGACTACTACCGAGATGACCGTCGCCGACCTGAAGTCCGCCATCTTCGACCACCTTATACTTGGTGGGCCCCCATCGAGCCTCGCTACCTCGCGCAGTTGATGATTTACGACAACTCCAACAACAGGCTGCGCTGCCAGGACAATTTTCATTACAGCCCCTACACGGGCATCACCGAAACCTACACAATGAAGTACCAGACGATCGACGGCGAAGCACTCCCTGAGGGCGCTGCTGTCGACAAGGGATTCCGATGGAAGTTCAGCTGCTACGTCGACCTCGACTGGGAGTACATCCGCCATCCAGAGCACAAGGACTACTACGAGGGCAACAGCGACTCCAAGCTGCACGGCGTCTACTACAGCACGCCCACGATCCCCTACGAGCAGAAGCCGCTACCGGTCGAGGATGTCGACTCGGCGGAGGCGGAGGCCACGCAGGAGTACCTGGTCCCGCAACCGAAGAGCTCCCCGAAGCGCGCGGCTCTCCCGGAGCCCTCGCGCAAGAAGCGCCGGGGCGAATAGCTGCCTAGCTACGCGAGGGGCTCGACCCCGCACTTCGCCGAGCAATTACCAAGCTACCATGTGCCGGCACTATTTACCACAGTCCAAGAAGTGGATTGGCCATTATTGTGATGATTGCCATCACCACATGCGTTACTAGGCCGTTTTTGTCGCAGTCGGATAGTACATATTTCGTGTACCACAGTGCTGATACAGCCGTTTCGGCAATACGCCCAGTATCACCGACGCTATCCGCTGTGCTGTGTACCTCATGCTGTTGGCACTTACGCTACGATGCGTTCGAGGTCTGCATAATATGTACCCCGTTCATAGCATACGGCTCAATCTCTCGGATTACGCCTACCGTTACCTTGGTGTTGCCGTCTACCTCTACACGTCGAGCCGCGCTAACTTCTACCCGGAGTACGAGACGACGGGCCCCGACGAGACCATAACATCGTAAACTGAGGGACCTCAGGGCCGGATCTGAGTCTGAGCCCAGGACTTTTACCCGCTCCCATTTACACTCTCGGACGGGTCCTCGTCCAACTGCTGGACGCAGTTACTCGCCAAGATGTCGCAAAACCCGAACGGCGCCTACGGCGTCTACGTCTCCGACATCCAGGCGGCAGTCCAGAGACGTGCAGGTGTACAAAGCTACTTGTCCAGAAGGTTGCTACCTGCCAATACCTGACGAGCGCGTGGGCATGGGTCCGCACTGACAGAACCCTATGCCATTGCACCGCAACTACGGGCTTACGCGCTCCAGCTACCTGATCATCAAGACTACGAAATACACGGACACACGATATTCCAAGTGGATACCCCTAGCGTTGATAAGACGTTTATGTCACAGTTACCCACTTACCCGACGCCCAACGTAAGCGACGTTAAGGCTGCGTCTTTACTCATGCATGGACCAATATTCCAGCACTACCCCACTGAGATGTTTGCCAAGATGGGGCTCTACGACCCGTTCAACCAGAACACCGCCTTCAAGAACGGCGAGACCCTCGTCTACAACTCTACCAAGAATGGGGACGCCCGCTGCTTCGGCCACTTCACCAACCAGCACAGCGACTTCTACCACAGGCGACATCACTTACCCGCCACCTGTGAAAATGTACGAAGATTCGCCGTTCCTGGCTACCCAGGGTACGAAGCGCCGGCGTACCGATTAAAGTCTACCAGGGAAGTTGCAGTACAGAGCTACAGCTGCGAATATATTTCCACACATACTCATTGTGCCAATCTTACCTTCCGTACAAGACGTTCCACTAGGTCCTCTGAGGACTACCGAGTTTCAACTGGAGGGGGGGGGAGGGACCTACGACGTAATGAACCGGTTGCACCCACTCCCCACCGAGGCCCATGGCGACGCCTCCCCCCCTCCCTCTATGATTGGACGTTTGCACTCCCTCCCCTCTTCCTCCTCGTCGCCAGGGTCAACGCTACCCCGTCGGGGCACGGCGGAGGCGGACGTGGTCTACAAGACGACTTGAGCCGTAGCCACGTGTACAGACGGCCCCTGGCGCCGTACACGGTTGCGCGCGGCGCGGGCGCGGAGCTGCTGAGACAGCGTGAGCGAGCGAGCGAGGATGAGGAGGAGGAGGAAGGGGAGGAGGAGGAGGAGGCGGAGGAGGAGGCGGAGGAGGAGGAGGAGTGGGACACTGCGGAGGAGGAGGAGGAGGAGGAGGGGAAGGAGGAATTCGCGTCGGATCTCCTCGCAGAGGAGGCAAACTTGGCATCGCTCGGGCGTGCGCATTTTTCTCGGCGAGGACCATCGAGGAGCATTTTGGATCATCTTGCGAAACAGACGGGCACGACAACGAACCATGCGCGGGGAATGGACGTCCGAGCGATGGCAGGAGAAGGTACCCGACCTGCTATAACAAAAGGGAGGGGGTCACGGCCCTCCGACACGAGCAGTGTTAGACCCCCCCATCCCCCAGATGGTTTCAATCAGATCCCCCCCCCATCAGACCAGCCCCATTGTATCGTGAAACCTGGAGTGCCCATACCCCTACCTTTCCTTCGCTTTCCCCTTTTGGGGGCCTCCTGGGAGGCCCGCGTTGCCACCGCTGGATTCGCCTCGACATCCTGGTCAGAACGCGCCCTGGGAGAGGTCCGAGGAGCAGCGGCATCGGTATATCTTTTGGCTCCCCCTCCTCGAGGCAGCGCACGAGCTCCGGCCAGAGGCGGTTCGTAATGTTCGTGCGCGGCCGCGTCTGCGCGTCGCACGCGCGGAGCCAGGGGAAGAGCGTGGGGTCGGTGGTGAAGAGAAGGTACTCGGAGCTCCGCGCGATGCTGTCGAAGAACAGGGAGTGGTCCGCAGGCGCGAGCGCCGAGAACCCCACTGCGGTGTCTCTGCGCGGCCAGTACATCACATGCGAAGGAGGAGCGGACGCTGTACCGCCCTTGCTCCGGGTCGACCTTCCGTCGCTCTTGCTCTGCACGGCGTTCGCCTCCTCGTTCCAGAGGCTGCCGAAGCTGAGGTCGAAGGCGCTCAGGCTGGGCAGCCCCACGAGGAAGCTGCAGTCCGCCTCCTGCACCGCCCGCCTGGTGAGCCAGCCACCCCGCAGCGCGTGGTGCAGCAGGATGCGCAGCTCCCGCTCCAGGGCCCGCCACAGCTGCTCCTCGCGCACCGCGGGGCTGTCGCTGCGCACGCTGCCGAACAGCTCGAGCGCCTCTGGCTCCTCCGCGCTCTCCGCGCCAGCCACGGCGGCCCCACTGACCGCTCCAACCCTGCCCGCGCCGCCTGGCGCAGAGTCTTCCTCTGCGGAGCGTCCTCTCTGTCCAAGACACGCCCAGGCGTCCAGCGTCGCGTCCGGCAGCTCCGGGACGCACGTCAGGCCGGTGAAACTGTCCGCTGACCTCAGCCGCCCCGATACGCAACACGCAGCCCGTAGCGTGTTGAGACGGAGATCCACATGTAGATTGCATACGCAGGTCTGGCTCGATAAGTTCGCCAACACGCGGCCCAACACGTGCGCGAGACGTGCTGAGCACGACACGTGCTGCGTCTCAAGACGTGCGCATCAGGACAGCTGTAGGGAAACGAACAATGACATAAACGTGACAACTCCGAGGTCCGCGCGGACTTTTCAGATCGGCGCCGGAGGTGCCGCCAGGGAGGTCCAGCGCGGATCCGAGAAATCCGCGCGGACCTCCGAATTTTTATGTTCATGTTATTGTTCGTTCTCCTGTGACCTCTTGGCGAACACGTCGCACACGGCGAGGGGGACCTCCTGGTATCCTCACCATACAGGGGGGGCCCTTGCCAAATGACACCCTGCTTGCCTCCGGGGTGTCCTGTGTTTCTTTGGTTTTCGATGGTTTTGATATGGAAAGCGTGACCTTCCCACACCAAACATCAAGGGACGCCCTGGGGTCTCATGGTTGGGTTTCTTGTGGAAGGTTTCTTGTGGAATGGCCTCCACTGTATTGTTCGTTTTCCTGAGCTAAGCCCCCGGCCACTGTGATCTCTTGGCGAACACGTCGCACTCGAACACCCCTGGAAGGAACATCTCCCTCCACGTGGCCTCGTCGACCTCTCGCACCGCGCGGTACACGTCGCCGGCGGCGCGCACCGCTGCCCACCTGTCGCTCCCGTGGCGGCGGCTCAGGTACGCGCCCGGACCAATGAAGAAGCCGCCGACAAACAGCGAAAAGAGAGACAGAAGCGCCAAGCACGGCATCCCGATGATGACAGAAGAAGGGAACATGGTCGACCCACGAAGCCGGAAAGGAACACAGAGACGTGAGGCATGGCAGCGTCTTCAAGACACCTACTGTAATTGGACGACGGGCAAGTGCAATGCTGAGTGTATCGATCCTGATGTACCGTGCCGAAGGCTGTGCTGTGCTGCGCGGTGCAGACTTGCACTGTGCCATGCCGCGCTTGTGCTCTGTAGCGTTGTTGCTCGAGTCTTCCTTTGCATCCGAGTCTAGACCACACTGATCTGGGTCCTAAGCTCGAGCTGCCTGGGCACATAGTAGCTGCCCCAGAACTTGTTGATGAGGAAACGTGCGGGACGTCCAATCAACTCGACCTCAAAATCCGACTCAGCTCCGAAAAGGAACGACACGACACGGGGCACAGGCTCATGGACGTGCCACAGGATATTCCAGCAGCGCAATAGCGGATGCGCCAGGGGGCGTGTCAGGAGACGTATCAGGGGACGTGCCCTGGACGTGTCAGGGACCTGCCACGGGACGTGCCAAGGCGCGTGCCATGGGGCGACTAATGGACGTCATGCCAAGGGACGTTGCAAAGCGCGCGCCACGGAACGGGCAGGGGAAACGCCTGAGGTCGAGCCAGGAAACGCGACAGAGGATGAGCCAGGGAACATGCCACGCCGAGTGGCGTTCTGGGGACGTGCCAGGGCACGTCATGCCAGAACGTCGCAAAGGACGTGCCAGGGGACGCGCCAGTGCGCCAGGGGACGCCCCAGGGACAGGCAAGCGTTTCGCTCGAGACATCCTCAACACATCCTCATGTTAGACATCCGCCTGGGCGACCTGGACACGTGAAAGCAATGGTCTCGCTCGACACGTTCCCAAAACCTCCTCATGCTAGACATCTGCCTGGACGACCCGAACACGTGAAAACAAGCATTTCGCTAGAGACATCCTGCCAACACCTTCATGTTAAACACCCACATGGGCAACCACCCACCTGGGCGACCTGGACACGTGCAAACAAGCAGTTCGCTCGAGACATCCTGCCACAAACTTCATGTTGAACATCCGCCTGGGCGACCTGGACACGTGAAAACAAGCGTTTCGCTTAACACATCCTCAACACATCCTCATGCTAGACATCCGACTAGGCGACCTGGACACGTGACAACAAGCGTCTCCCTAGAGACATCCTGCCAACACCTTCATGTTAGAGATTCACCTGGGCGACCTGGACACGTGAAAGCAAGCGTTGCGCTCGAGACATCCTGCCACAAGCTTCATGTTAAACATCCGCCTTGGCGACCTGGACACGTGCAAACAAGCGTTTCGCTTGGCACGTCCTCAACACATCCTCATGCTAGACATCTGACTGGGCGACCTGGACAGGCGAAAACAATCGGTTCGCTCGAGACATCCTCAATACATCTTCATGTTAGACATCCGCCTGGGCGACCTGGACACGTGAAAACAAGCAGTTCGCTCGAGACCATCTCGACACCTCCTCATGCTAGGCATCCGCCCGGGCGACCTGGACACGTGCAAACAAGCGTCTCGCTCGGAACATGCTCAACACATCCTTATTTGAGACATCCGCCTCCGCGACCTGGACACGTGCAAACAAGCAGTTCGCTCGAGACCATCTCAGCACATCCTCATGTTAGGAATCCGCCTGGGCGACCTGGACGCGTGAAACCAAACGTCTCGCTCGAGACATCCTCAACACATCCTCATGCTAGACATCCGCCTGTGCGAGCCGGCGCGTGAAAACAAGCCTCGCCAGAGACACCCTCGACAACTCCTCATGCTAGACATCTGCCTGGGCAACCTGGACGCGTAAAACCAAACATCTCGCTCGAGACATCCTCAAGACCTGGGCACGCGAAAACAATGATTTCCCCTGAGGCATCCTCTGAAGTCTGGTCCCCAGGAGAGGAACAATCTTTAACACAAAGCAAGCGTTTCGCTCGAGACAACCTCAACAGTTTCTGCAAACCAAACGTTTCGCTAGAGAAATCCGCGACAGACGACAATGTTTACTTCACCATGTGTTTTATCGATCGGAATGTCAAACACGAGCGTTTCGCTCGGGACATCCTCAAACATGATTCCGCCAACACTTCCCAACATCGATACTCATCCGGGAGTGACTCCGCCAGCCCTTCCCCGCCATGGCACTGGGGGCAAGTTGACCAGCTGAAAGAGAACCCCGGGCCATCGCGCCCTTTCCTGCAAGTGCAGATGTCGACGCCATGTCAACGTTCGACGGTCCGCGCGGAGTGCGTGAATCTGCGCTGGACAGCCCTCCCCGGCGCGCTGAGCGCGCCAGGGGCGGCGCCGAGGGCGCCGCCACGGGGCCCCAACGCAGATCCAAGAGATCCGCGCGGAACGTCGAAACTTGATGTTTACAGTCGGCCTTGACTGGACAGGACACGCGAGAGGACACAGGACCCTTCCGAGGGCCACATCGCCATAGGAGTGTAAGAAGGCACGTGTCGTGAGGCACAGGACAATAGGGTACCCTTGAGCTGGCAGGGTCGACCTACTAATCCGGACAGACTCTATGCCATTTGACCTTCTTCCAGATGAGTACCAGGTATGCGGTGAGGAGCGCCAAAAACACGAAGGGCCACATGACCATCAGGCAGAAGCAACCCACCAGCCCGCCGTCCTCAGCAGGAGAACCCAGAATCGAACCGATAAGTCGGATCGGCAATCGAAATGAATCGGATCGGCGGAAATCGGCAGCCGAGTCGGAAAAAGTCGAATCGGCGGAAATCGGCAGGCTGGTACGCGTCCAATAAGAAATCTGAACCCAAATCGGAATCCCAAATCGAATCGAACCGTAATCGGAAATCATCGAAATCGAAATAAATCGAATCGGAGGAATCGAAATGAGCCCTGCCTCAACCGTCATCTTCACAATTAAGTAGAGCAGCCACCACGCGTCTAGAAAGCCACGGACCACGACGTGCACACACCACAATGGGAGCTTGGGGCAGCACACGATCAGGGTCGCGACGCATGAGATCCAGAATGAGCTCCAGACGCACAGGAACAAGCACACGAGGCAATCCTTCACAAACATTGCGCCTTTGTAGAAGATCCACCAGGGGAAATAGACCTCATACATCGTCCCATCCCAGCCGTCTGGAATACCCATGAGCAGGTTCGCGCGAAAGCGTGCCTCGTCGCGGTTCAGGCACTGCCACTGCCGCAACGACACGCACGTGAACAGGACCACCTGCTCGTACAGAGAGAAGCCCGTCTGACACTTGCCACCGAAGCAGCTGAAGAAGTACGACAGACAGTACGCCGCGGGCTTGGGCAGAGAGGTGCTCCCGTAGCGCAGCGAGCCGAAGCCGCCGCGGGCGTCGGCGCGCGCGGTGCGGTAAGCCTCGCGAATGGCAGTGCGGAACTGCCCGCCCAGCCTCAGCTGCTGGCGCCGCGGCCCGATATTCGGGACGGGCACTGCTGGCGGATCAGCGGCGCTGGAGCCGCCGCTGCTACCGTTCGGACGGTACGCGCCCGCCGGGCCGACGCCAGCCACGTCGAAGCTGAAGTGCACCACGAAGTCCGCGGGCCTCCCCATGGGGGCGGCAGGGCTGCGAGTGCCGCCGCTGGACTGCTACCTCGCGGGTGCCTCCCGTCGAACATGTCCTCCTCCTCCTCCTCCTCCTCAATGTCCTCCTCCTCCTCCTCCTCCTCCTCCTCCTCCTCCTCCTCGTGCTCCTCCTACTCCTCCTCCTCCTCCCCCCTTTCCCCCTCCTCCTCCCCCTCCTCCCTTCTTTCCCCCTCCTCCTCCTCCTCCGCCTCCTCCTCCTGCTGGTGCCTCTCCTCCTGCCCGATTTGTCCTGCCCTCCTCTGGCCGGGGCTGCGCTGCGGCCCACGAGGGGGCCAGGGGCGCCGGATCGCGTGCGCTGCGGCGTCTGGTCTGAGCCGCCGGCCGCGGCCGTGGGGGCGCCACATAGGCCGTGGCCGTGGCCGTAGGCCGTAGAGGGCAGTTTTTAATACATAGGATGTTTAGGAAATATCGGATGTTTCATACATGACTAAGTTATGGATAAATTGATACATGAACTCATCGTCGCTTTCAATTCTAAATCCCTGCACGTTTAATACATGACCCGCACGCGGAGCATGTATTAAACAACGGCACTGTAGGCCGTATCTGTTGCTTGTCGGTTTAGGCATAGAGACACGGCGCTGTACTGCTGCTCCGACTCCTCCATGATGCACGTTTGCGTATATGTCGAACGTTCGATGCACGGCTGCCGTCAGTTCGGCCAGTTGCTTGCTGTCTGAGAGCACCAGTGTTGCGAGGATGTCGATGAGCTGCGCCAGCCCAGAGCCTACGAGCTTGCCGAGGTCCCTTTGCCCCACCGTGGCGGCCTTGCGTGGCCGTGGCCGTCGGGCGAGGAGGGCCTGGGGCCCAAAGGGGCCACGAGAGGTCCCCAGCATGACCCCCGCGAGCTCAGGGTGGGCCATGGCGGCCACGAGCTCAGCACGGCCCAGCGCGGCTCCAAGATGGCCCACATGCCCTCCAAGACAGTATAGGGCGGTCCATAGTGCCTCAGAGATGGCCTAAGATGGCCTCCAAGGATGCCCATCGAGAGGTCGAAATCAAGGAAAGCCCAAAGGCGCTTCACTCACAGCACTCATACCGAACAAGAAACTGGCCTGCCAACGGGCGCCCCACGATCATGTCCTACCTCGCGAAGGGGCCACATAACACTAGGGCACCTGATGAAGCTAAGAGTCGACGAAGGCTGCGCCTCTAGATTTGCGGATGCCATGACAATGGACACTCTAACAATCCTATCATTGAATTAAACCTGTGTATCTAATGTGTGAAACATGTTCGGCACATGTTTCAAACATGTTTTTGCATATTCAAGACATGTTTGAAACATCGTTGACATCGTGGAATTCTTTGGCAGCACGTTTCCTCTCCATTAATCGACGTCCACAACTTTAGATTATGATAGCAAGTGTCTCAGAGTGTGTGTGTGTGTGTGTGTGTGTGTGCCTGATGGGCCTCAAAGGACACCAGGTGACGTCAAACGGCCCACGCAAGTCCCTGAGGAGGGCCCAAGATGGCGAAGGAGCTGCAAGGATATCCAAAGAGCCAAGATGGTCCCAGGAGAGCCGCAAGAGGGCTGCCAGAGAGACCCCCAAGCAACCTTCAATATAGACGAAACTACCATCAACCCGTCTCCAAGACGGCCTCAAGTTGCCGACATGCATGCCTTTAGAATGGCCCCACATGGCCCGTAAGACTGCCGAATTTCTTCCAGCATGCCTCAAAGATGGCCTTGACGGAGGCCCAAACACCAACATCAGGACAAACAAGTGTTGCTAAACGGTTCTAGCCATCTCACCTGTTCAGCTTCTGACGAGCCTGAGCGGCCTTCATACGGCCTCAAGGTGGCCCTAAGCAACGCCTGGTATTGCCCCAATGCCGAAAGGCCATACGGGCATACGATCCCCCGCAACACAAGGAAAGCTTGCCCAAGCTCGGCGACCGCGAAGCGCGAGGAATACCACACGCTGCAGAACACCATCGCGCTGTGGTACAGCAAGAGGCCAAACAAGTTTACAAGACCAATCCCCAGCAAGTACAAAGGGAACCCGAACAAGAGCGCCACTGGCGTGAGCACTGCCAGCTTGCAGCGCAAATTAGGCCCCAAGTACGCTGTCGTCAACACCACCGAGAAGAAGAGGTATATTTGCAAAGGGAAATAATAAATTGATATGCTCACGCACCCGAGAGCCTGCAAACCGGCGGGCCACAATACCAAGGCCAAGGCCTTTAGACAGAAGAGAACAAACCGGACACCTTCTAGCAACGCCTGCAAAAACAACTGAAACAGAGGCACCTCTATCTTCTCCGTCTGCGGCGCGTCCAAGCACTTCTTAAATGCGCGCAGCCCGCTCGTCTCGCGGAAGCCTGGGAAAGCGAACGTCTCGTTGAAGAGCTCACTGGAGATCTTCGTCCACCCCCCAGAGCCGCCCCTGCCCCACAGCTCCTCCGCATAGGCACCCCAGATGCCGCACAGGCCGAACTCGTCGATCTTGAACCAGCACTGCCTGCCGCTGGCGCAGTACGTCAGCGTGAAGACGCCGGCGAACGCGTAGCTCCAGATGTAGAGCGCGTACAGGAGGCAGCCCGCACAGCTGCCGAGGAGGCCCGCCCCGGTGCTGACCGGCAGCGTGCACACGGCGAGAACGCGCAGGTTCGGGCCCAGCGTGTCGCAGCGACAGAGCACCCAGTGGACCCAGCGGGCGACCGCGCCAGGGGCCTCCGTGAGCACGAGAAAGGCGTCCAAAAAGAAGGCGCACGCGGACAGAACGCACGCGCACGCGGCGGCCTTCGCCACGGCGATCCCGATGCGGACCAGCTCCGCGAGGGGGCCGAGCGTCACGATGCAGGGGCAGCAGACGATCAGCGTGCACAGGGTCGGGTCCCCGCGGCTCGGCGGCATGCGGTGCGCAGCGGTCTCGGAGGCCGGGCGAGCGGAGACCACGGCGGTTCGACATCGATCCCTGGACCCCTCCCCGTGGACCAAGCTCGGCGACTCCGAGGGGTGTGGCTTGCGAGGGGTGTCGTTTGCAACGGGCGCCCCGGGGGCCACCCCGGGGGGGCGGGCGGGGACCTCGACAGAGCTCTCCGCCGCGCCCCGAGGAGGCCCAGCGAGGACAATGTCGTGCTCCCCGGGCCCCAGCGGTGCCGATCGCCAACCACACCCCGGCGTTGCCATACCCTTTGCAGTCGCCGACAAACGGACCAGTTTCCCGAACTGTGCCCAGCCATGGCGGCGAGGGAGCCCCCCGATTCGGAGGCGGCCGGGGGGCCTGAACAGGTTGGGACCCCAGGCAATCGCTCAGGCAAGGGTGGTGAGGCCGCGCGCGCTCAGGATCGGCACCCGGAATCTCGCCCGGGGTCCGTCTGGTGCAGCGTTCCCCTCCGAAGCAGTGCTCGATGGCCCAGGGGCCCGGAGACGGCCTCCAGAGGCACAGGAAAGCAACACAAACCTCCCCGAGCGCAGAACCTCGAACCTGCCCCCCGTTCCTGCTGGCCGGAGCCAGTGCAGGGCCACCTCAGGCCCCCAGCTGGCTCCAACTCCCCCAAAATGGGCCACACGCGAACCCCGCGCCCACACCACAGGATTTCTGAGGGGGGGGGAGGGCCCCCTCCGCTCGGGAGCTCCCGAGCGAAGTGAGCCGCCACCCCCCCTTTCAGAAATCGTGGGGGGCGGGGGCCGGGCTCACATGTGGCCACCGACATCTGCCGTCGTCTCAACTGGTCCTCCTCCGAAAGTCTGCGAGGCGTGTCGTGGCCCCCCCGCCGAGTCGCGGCGGGAGGGAGCGGCCGGCCACGGCCCGAGGGGGGCGCTGCCCGGGCGCGAAGCGACAAGAGGAGGCCTTTTGTGACTACCTACCAGACCACCCCAACCCAACCCGAAGACCCGAATTTCGGGTTGGGGGGGGTACGGGTTCCATGTGTGTGTTTCTCAACATTCCCCAGCCCCCCCCCCACTGGAAATGAAGGCAATTTGGAGTCTTCGGGTTGGGTTGGAGTGGTTTGGTGGGTGGTGATTTTATGCTACTACAGGAGGCCAGCGACGCGTGTGGCCTGCATCGATCCGCAACACTCGCCATCGCTCGGACGTCCATTCCCCGTGTTTTTTTGTTCGGTCTCGTGCGTTGCTTTTTCGCCAAATGATCAAGGATGCTCCTCAAATAATCCCCGCCGGGGAGAAAAACACACGCCCGAGCGATACCAAGAACAGCCTCGAGCCCGTGGACAGCCTGAGCCAGAAGGGCTGCGGTCGGGAACTTTTGCACAGCCTGTCGCCGCGGCGGCACTGGCGACACGCTACCCCCTGAGAGTGGATGGCGTGTCGATTCGCTCCTCGGGGCGGGAGGTTGGAAGAGGCTCGCGCCATTGTCGCTTGGGGATTGGGACGTGGAAAAATGGCGCGCTGAAGCGTGCTGGGCCAGAACCTGCGGAGCGATACGCTATATAGAAACGGCCGACCGTACGCACTGTGCTCTGCCGCCATGAGAGGAACAATGAGCATGACATACACATACAATGATGGACATATGCCCATATTTTGTGGATCGGCGGATGACCCCCCTTTCCTTGCGCGCGGAGCGCGTCATGGGGGGCGCAGAAGTCGCCGGCAGGGGTGCTCACCGCCGATCCGAGAAATCCGCGCGGAGCTCCCAAAGTTAACGTTTATGGAGATGTGCTGCGTTCCTCGAGTTATGCATGATCGTTTCTCTCTCTCTCTCTCTCTCGTTATCCATTTCTCTCCCTTTATGTTTGTTGTTTTCTCTCTCTCTCTCTCTCGTCGCATCTCTCCTCCTCTCTCTATCTCTCTCGCTACATGGATTCTCTCTCTCTCTCTGTTTATTTCTTTTTTGTTTCTCTCTCTCTCTCTCTCTCACTATATATATATATATATACACATACGAATCTGCAAATGTATATGTATATACATATAGGTTATTTATATATTAATAATTGTATATATATATATATACACGTATCCGCCAGCCCCCTTCCAGGGGCGCAAGGCTGCGAAGATGTGTGCGGTTTGCTACAATTGTCGTCATGTGTCGTTTGGCCTCTGATCTCTCCGGTCCAATTTCGTGCCTCCTGTTTACTGTCTGCTAGCGGGCCCCGCCGCGCAACTGAGCAACCAACGGGGGGGGGACCTCAAATCTTGGTTACTCCGGGCCACCCGAGGATTCTCACGGCGAGAGGCCTCCAAGATTGCACGAAGAGGCTCCGAAGAGAGCCTCAGGAGGCAAAGACGGCCCAAGACGGCTCCAAGATGCCCCACGATGGCCCCAATACGGCCCCAGATGCTCCCAAGACGGCCCAAACGGCCTCTAAGAGGCCTCCCAAGAGGGCCCCGCGAAGCAATACCAAAAAGATGTCCCAACGTTTTCGAAGGTTTCTGGCCTTGTCGCCTTACCCGCTTTCCGACGCTCCGAGACGGACCAAGAGGTTCCCAAGATCGTCCCACGACGGTCCTAGAAGCCCCCATGACGGCCGATGAGGGCCCCAAGACAATCCAAAAGGCGCTCCAGACGGCCAAAAAGGCTTCTAAAACGGCCCCGAGAGAAGGCCCAAGAGGGAGCCCACGAAAAGAAAACTCTACCTTTCCACCCCGAGAAAGCCCCAGGAGGCCTCAGGAAGGCTCCAAGAGGCCCCAAGAGGCCCCCCAGAGGCCCCAAGGAGACCCCCCAAAGGCCAGAAATGCATTATTGTTTAAAAGAAGCTTGATCCCCAGGGCCCCCAGCGGTCCTGAGCAGGCTGCCCCGAGCCCCGCTCTCCTGGTCGCCGCGTGGGCCCCGCGCGCCTCGCGCGCAACGTGCGGCCCGTGCACACCCACGCGATGCTTTTGCTCAGCGGGTATTGCTTTTCCTTCGCCTCTCTCCCCCCTGAGCTCCAGCCGCCGCTGCTGCCGCCGCCGCAATGGCCACGCGCGCCTCGAGCGACCCTGAGGTTCTAGTCCCCCGCGCCCCCGTTGACCTCCACGGCGGCGGCTGGCACGCCGACTCCCACAACTTCTTGCGCGCGCGGTTGGAGGCCGCTCTCTCGTCTCGCGCACCAGCCACTCACCGAGCGATCGTCGCCACCTCGTGCTTCGTCAGCGCCAGCTTCAGCTTGACAAGCTTCCTACGCGGCCTTCCTGGCTCTCGCTGGGGGACGTCGGGACACTCGCAGACCATCTTCTGGCGCCGCCAGCCGATGTTCTGCGACGCCCAGCGCACCTGCATGCCCAACTCGCTCAGCGCCCGCTGCCTCCTGTAATTTGCGCCCATTGCCGCGCCCATCTTTGCCAGCAGGTCCACAGCGCCGTTGCCTGTCGCAAACGTGAGCTCGTCGCCCTGTAACTGCGCTATCTCGTGTCATGGACCTGTGCGCCTCGACGCGGTGCACCGCGATCGCGTCCAGGCCCATGTCCTTCACCTTGCGCCCGAGCCTCCGCCACAGATCTACGCGCGGCCCCTTCCAGCTTGTGCACCACCCCGCGCCCCGCTGTAGGCCATCGGCGATGCCTTCGTGGTCCGCGTAGATCCTGCACGGCGGGGGCGCATTCTCGAGCAACTAAGGGAAACCCCACATCTCCGCTCGCTTGACCTGCCAATGCACTGGCAGCGCACAAGGTAGCGGGCCCCACAGCTGCACCTTCGGCTTGCCCTCGACTGAAGGCGACGTGCCCGCCCAGCCCGTCTGCGCCCGCTCGCCGTGGCCGAGCTTGGACCCGTCGCGCACTATGTCGCCCGTGAACAGGTCGTCGTCGCCCTCGAGCACCGCCCCCTCGCACTGGTCCCCCTTGATACCTACGAAACCACAGTCCGCCTAAGGGCTCACGGTTCGCCCTCGCGCCAAGATTAGGCTGCTCCACCAATTGCCGCCACTCCGCCTGCGCCTCGAGCCTCTGCACCCTCGGGGTCTCGCACTTGAGCGCTCTGCGATGCGGCGTGACGACAGCCTGTCCACGGCCCATCATATGCCCGTCGGCACAATGTTGCATCCGCAGAGCTTGCCCATTGTCCGGCTGCCTCCCACGAACACCGTCTTTGCCGCGTTTTGGCGTGGTCGGGGAAACCTCTCGCCGCCGGCTGCAAGACCGCAGGGGCTTTGTACGGGGCTGGTTTGAGACTGCCGTGCTCGTCGGCCGCGGCCCACTCCCCCCAAAGCATGCTCGGCACATCCTTGCGCGGCATCGCCGCGACGTCCATGGGGCGCACCTCCCTGGGGCCCAGGTCGCAGCCACCCTCCGCGCGCATCGCGCGAAAGGCAGTCCACTTCCAGTCAGCTCCCTTCATCGACATTATGCCTGCGCCCACTGGTCCCCGAACTCGCGTCCAGGAAGGTTGCGCGCCCACCTCTTGCTGCTGTCGCCTCCACGCCTTCATCAGCACGTCCGCCGCGTCGCCCCATCTGGCTCCTATCTCCGACCGTCCAGCACGTGGCGCTGCGCGCCTGGCAAGCCCAAGATTTGTTCCTGGCCGTCCAGCACGCGGCGACTACGAACCTGAGCCATGCCCAGGATTTGTTCCTGACCGCCCAGCACGCGGCGACTCTAAGCCTAAGGCAAATCCAGGACGTGATTCAGCCCGCCCAGCAAGTGGCGACCCTGAACCTGAGCTGAGCCCCGGACTTAGCCCGCCACCTTCCTGCCGCCGCCCTCGTCTAGCATCGGCGTACTACGCCTCTCTTGCCCATCTTACGACCGGCGACTCGGTCACCTCGAAGGTCGGCTCATCTCGTGCTACCGCCAGCTGCAGTAGGAAGTTCTTGGCGCCCCTTCCTCCAGGTTGCGAACGTCCTGCTTTGCGTCGTGACTGCCGTAGACGTTTGTCGGGCATGCCCAGGCGCGCGCACCGATGCAGCACCGAACGCTTGAACCCGCGCTTGCACGCCAGAGCCGCGCCCCTCGCCATCTTGCGCCCGCCT